CTAAGATAGGTTTGGGTCAGCATATGTTTGCTGAAAAGGGCGTAAACAGGGTTTTGATTGATGACTTAAGACTACTCTTATTGTCAAATTATCACTCAGAATTTACTGACGGTTCCCCAAACAGGCTCAATCTCTGAGGGAGTGAAGGAGAAAAGGGAAAAGCAGAAGGAAAAGGAGAGCATTTCTATTCAGATTATGCTTATTATTTGGTGCTCAGGATGATAGTTACGCCCTAGTGTTTGTCTAGATGACTTGTGTAACAGGGTCATAAAATTAGGGCACATGTTGAAAATAAACAAATCAAAAATAGAAGTGTCTCTGGTTCCTTTTGAGGTTCATAGAGAACATCAAAACAAAGGAGGCATACATGTAAATGGATTTAAAATTAGCTGACTGCTAGTATTAAAACAAAGTAATCAATCTGGTATTAGGAACAAATAGTAGCACTCGTGATCAACTGATTTGTGTTGGGCAACACACCATGTCTGGTCACAGCTGATGCGTGTTCAGCTCCCATGCTGTTGCCATGCCATATGTGTGCCCCGCCCTCTGTAGCGCGTTATTCACTGTGCCACTAAAAGCACCCAATAACATAATTAAAATGTAATTAAATTTAGATTTAATTAGCTAGTAACTGAGCCATAGCATTCAGGAAGGATACATCTAAGATAGTTAAATTCGCTGAGACGAATTAAAGATTGAGAAACATAGAAAGAGAAGAAAAAAAAGGAAAAGAAAGGGAAAAATCAGAAACCAGGGATTAGGTTAAATTCAAATTACTTCACACTGCATACACACATGCTGTATTTAAAAGCTTCAATTAAAGAGTGCTAATCCCTAATTGTTAAAGCTATTTGGTAGCTCAGCCTAAGATTAACTATGCTAAGTTGTGTCACTTAAACTGGTCTAACATACACATAAACACTTAAACTGGTCTAACATACACATACACACACACATACAGTTGGTATAGGAAAGGGTTAAAGCTTAAGCAGTAAAGAGGAAATAAGGAATGAAGTTATGGAACCATTTGCATATTCAGCAGATCTACACCTGAGGGAAACATCAGATTCTTAGTTCAAACACACCTTTGTTTTTGAGTTTTTGTTTTGGATTTGAATTATTTCGTTTTGTAGCCATTTAAAGCTTTCGATAGAAATATTCATCATGACTGTAAGGAAAATATTTGCTGAGTTTCGGTGCATTTTTGTGAAGCGCTCCTGTTCAAGACCGAGACGGCAAGCGCATCCTATTTGTTTTCTTTATTTTACAAAAGCACAATGTTTTCTTGATATTGTGAGTGCACACAAATAAAAATAGACCTTTTACAGTTCCGAACAATGTATTATTCTTACCTTTATGAGCAAAAATTACGGCGTATTTAATTTGTTTCCACTGATGTTGAAGCAATAAAGCAGACTTGACTTGACTTGACTATATGCACCTAATAGCGCACATTTATCTAGGTTAAATGTTTAAACTAACATTGTGATATGCTTTAAGTATTTTATAGATTTTATTTTCGGCAAGTCTTAATTACAACATCGTATGACATTGTCTCATATGATGCTCATATTACGTTAGTATCTGATAACACCAAATCAGTAAAATAATTAAAATTTCACCACCACCAACGCATCTAATAGCCTATTCTCTCTGAGTTTCCATGTTCCCTTACGAAAATTAGCCATGATTTTAACACTAATAAAACCAAAAATAAGTTAGTTTAAAGTATCTTTTTTTTTTTTGGAGTGAACCTTTATTCACCACAAATAACCTTTTGTGAAGCAGAAAGGTTCTTCGGTTGTTAAAGGTTCGAACCATTTAGAAAAAGAAAAAAAAAGGTTATTCTATGGTATCGTGAAGCACCTTTATTTTCTAGAGTGTAAGTAAGTAAGTAAATAAATAAAATTAAATAATATAGATTTTTTTTCTGCCTAGAATAAAAGGGTCAATGACTTGGCACATTTTGTCCAGATCTATTTATTCAAAATGCAATTTATACATGCAATTACTTATATAATGCATCTATAATGAGTACATTTTTAATTTCTGGATTAAAATTTATTTAGCCATTTTTGGGGGACATAAAGTCAAAAATATATCAGGATGATACAACTGAAAAGCACACTTAATTAAAATAGACCTTTTCCCAAAAGTGTTGATCTGTAGACATGTCTAAATGCACTTTTCATTACATTTAAACTTTGGTATAAAGTCTTTTAAAATAGAGCCTCCTTGGCTCATGGAACTTACATTTCTGAGGAGTTTGACGTAGATGGTCACACATAAGAGGAAATCTTTGAGTGGTCTTGTGATAGGAACTGTGAAAGTGCAATTATAATCTTATTCTAAACACTGTTGCATCACTCAACTGAAAGGGAAGCACAGAAAGTGTCTTGTGACAATCACACAATTAACTTCTGCTGTTCTTTTTATTTGAGGTTCTAAAATAACAGAAACTCCAACAAATCATAAAGTCAGCAGTTTCAATCCGTTGTGCTGAATGACACGAGCTTGTATTTGGGTGTGGATCAGTGCATTTCTCAGTCGACTACAAAACCCTAAAATGTTGCCCATTCAGACAATCTTGCTTTGTGGCATTTTTGCTCAAAGCCGCCTATCTCACGCTTTAATGTGGAATGTATGTTTGAGGAGTCAGAGAGTGAGGCACAAACTAGTATTTCAGAGCTTATCAGTGCTCTCAGTAGTTCATTCACTTGTTCCTCTCAAAATCAGTTAAATTGTAAAAGGGTTAAAGGGGGTTGTACAGCAGCACACCGATTCCCAGAACCAGCTTCAATTTATACACACAAAAACGCGTTTTAGAATTATATTTATTTACGCTTTTATTTTGACATTTAATAAGGATCAGTAGGGAACTTGTTTTATCAAAATGTTTGATGCAGAATTCAACAAGCAACTATTTAGCAAAAAAAAAAAACAGCTCTGTTATTGAGATCTGTGCTGGATTGAATGATTACAAGCATCTGCTGCTGAGAGTGTCCTAGAAGGAAATAAGAGGAGGGATTTGTAAAAATGGGAGGGAGAAGAAACACAGAGGTCCATATAAAGAGACAGTAAGTGAGCGGGAGGGAGAAGTGGATGTCTGTACACTTTGTTGAAGGAGTTGACGATTCAGGAGTAAGTGTGTATCCACATTCATGTGTTTTGCTGTTACTCATTTGACATTTTTGAAGTTTTCTTAATAAAGCTGAACTAATTACATGTTTTATTCTTTTCAAGGGCACTGGAGAAACTCCAAAATAGTTTGAAAAGAGGGCAGAGGAGTGCAGCAGAGAGAAAGAGGCAAGATGTTTGGCTGCCAGGGAGGCGGGTTGAGGGTACGGTCCTGGTTTACTCTGATATCTGGGTTAGTGGAATGTTTGGGGTTCGCGGGTGCTGTTTTTGGCTGGGCATCGTTGGTTTTTGTGCTCAAGACTGAAGGCTACTTCAGAAGTCTATGTGTGAATGCCACAATAAATGGAACTGCTGTTGAAGGTCAGTTGAAAATGCAAACATATGCATTGTGTATGCATGTCTAGCTGTGGAAACTGTGTAGTACATTTAACATTTGCTGTGTGTTAGACTGCAGTAGACAGGATGAGCAGCTCTCACTCATCTTCACCATCGCATCCTTCATGAACAACTTCCTCACACTGCCAAATGGCTTCCTGTTTGACCACTTTGGCACCACTGTTGCCAGGATACTGGGAATGTAAGTCAGATTTGTGTATTTGTCTGGCTAAAGATGCCTGTCCTGCATACCAATATCACAACCACACAAAAAAGGTAGTACTATGATATTCTGTGAAGTATTCCAGCATATCTTGCGGCATACCATGGTAAACAAATATGGTAATCAGGCAGTACTAGGGTATTACCACCTGATGCCATCATATTGTTGTTGTACTTTTTGCAAGGGATGTGTGTCCTTGTATCATTTTATTTTAAGGACTTTTTAGTGTTTTTTTTTATAAACACTA